TATATATTATATATATATATATTCATATATATATATGTGTGTGTTTCATTGTCAGTGTGCATCTGTCTATGTCTCTGTCTTTTTGTTCCAGGCTGACTCACATTGTACCATATCCTCCATATCGATCCATATCTATCCACATTCCCAAATGGTGAGGGCGGGCTGCATCCTTCTTGGTTCCAGCCTGGCAGCATATATCGCTGTATATGTATTCGGTTACGATATATGACTACAATCCAATAGTTTTCGACCATTTTTTGTACCGCTGTTTGTACAATTAGACATAGTGAGACATAGAACCCTCCTGCTGCTCCTGTTGCTGCTGCTCTTCCTCCCGAAGCTGAAAACGCACGCTGCCGGACAGGGAAACACAGTGGCCCTGAAGGACGGAACAGCGCCAAAATCGAGCCCAAAAACTGCCTAACGTCCCTTCTGAAACCCTAGAAAAACAATAGTTTTCGACCAGTTTTTATACCGCTGTTTGCACAATGAGACATAGTGAGACATAGAACCCTCCTGCTGCTCCTGTTGCTGCTGCTGCTCTTCCTCCCGAAGCTGAGAACGGACGCTGCCGGACAGGGAAACACAGTGGCCCTGAAGGACGGAACAGCGCCAAAATCGAGCCCAAAAACTGCCTAACGTCCCTTCTGAAACCCTAGAAAAACAATAGTTTTCGACCAGTTTTTGTACCGCTGTTTGTGCAATGAGACATAGTGAGACATAGAACCCTCCTGCTGCTCCTGTTGCTGCTGCTGCTCTTCCTCCCGAAGCTGAAAAAGCACGCTGCCGGACAGGGAAACACAGTGGCCCTGACGGACGGAACGGCGCCAAAATCGAGCCCAAAAACTGCCTAACGTCCCTTCTGAAACCCTAGAAAAACAATAGTTTTCGACCATTTTTTGTACCGCTGTTTGTGCAATGAGACATAGTGAGACAGAGAACCCTCCTGCTGCTCCTGTTGCTGCTGCTGCTCTTCCTCCCGAAGCTGAAAACGCACGCTGCCGGACAGGGAAACACAGTGGCCCTGAAGGACGGAACGGCGCCAAAAGCGAGCCCAAAAACTGCCTAACGTCCCTTCTGAAACCCTAGAAAAACAATAGTTTTCGACCATTTTTTGTACCGCTGTTTGTACAATGAGACATAGTGAGACATAGACCCCTCCTGCTGCTCCTGTTGCTGCTGCTGCTCTTCCTCCCGAAGCTGAAAACGCACGCTGCCGGACAGGGAAACACAGTGGCCCTGAAGGACGGAACAGCGCCAAAATCGAGCCCAAAAACTGCCTAACGTCCCTTCTGAAACCCTAGAAAAACAATAGTTTTCGACCAGTTTTTGGACCGCTGTTTGCACAATGAGACATAGTGAG